TTGAAATTAGAGTTACATTTTTCCTATACTGTTTGCCAACCACGGCTAGAGAGTTCACTCTTCTCTTTTATTTGATCCTTAGCTGGGGTAAAAATGGATTCATACCTTTCCCAAAGGTATTTGTGTGTAAAAGTAAATGTAACGACCTCACCTGTAATTCGAACTCGGCTCGACGATTTCTAGTTCCATGTCTTTAACTATTACACCACCTGTACATCCAAATTTTCCTTACTCAGAACAAATTCCACTATTATAAATAAGCTCCTAAATTTTAATGAATCTACTTTTTGGTGATAAAACTGCTACTATTTACTTTTCTCCCAATATTGATTAACCATTGTTTTTGCATTTTTTTTTATTTTTATTTTTTATTTTTTTTTATCTCTGGGTCATTTGTTTTTGGGGGTTTTTTTTTTGGTTTTTTTACCCCTTGTTCTAACCAGGAGAATTACAGCATTTGCTCCGCCATGTCTCACGAGTCTCCTGCAAAGATTCGACAAATACTTTGTGTGACATCACAGTTTCTCTTTGCATCTTGTTTTAGAAACCTGACAGCGTCTCAATGGTTATGTGAATGCGCATGCGCCCAGTTTTAATTCCTTTTGCGTTGTTTATTCTATGAATTTTCTGCCATCTTTTCAATTTATTGTTGTCTTTGTTTTTCTTTTGTGCGTGTTTGTGTAAAACATCCAATTTAATTATTTCACCCCAAAAAAAGGTCGATTACACGATGTGTTCGATTTCTCCTTTGCTTGCTCGCTCAGAGTAAAATTGGCTGTAGTTGTCTCATTTTATATTCGATCTTAGAAAAAAAGAAGCAAGAACGATCAGCAGTTTCCATCTGTGTCTCAACTCTAACGCTACCCACCAACTATTTCACACCAGTCCAGAGTAAATACGGTAAAAGGTAAGTTCACTTTTACATCATTGATTCCACTGATTTGTACTGTTTATTTTGTACAAATTGATTAAACTCTATGGAATACAATCACTCACGAAAATGTTTGTTTGTTTAGCGGCATATCCACTCCTTATTAATCATCTAATGTCGAAATTTAATTTTCTTGGGAGCATCAGTAACTTCTTTTACAAAAATGTATTGCTGGTAATATATATATATATATATATATATATATATATATATATATATATTATCAGCAGTACATTTTGTAAAAGAAATTACTGATATATATATATATATATATATATATATATATATATATATATATATATATATATATATATATATATTATGATATATATATATATATATATATATATATATATATATATATATATATATATATATAGCAGGCCACTCATATTCGAGGATACCTGTCTACTTGGCGGCTAGCCAATCCCTATTGCAGACGCTTGCTCAGGTGTATTTGTATTTATTCAACACCCACAGAGCCCACCTTTGGGGTTTATACTGCAACTATGCTGAGCAGATCTTAGTCACAGTTTCTGGGAAAGAGCGTGTTATCTAGCGTGATCAACAATTTGAACAAGGCCAGCACACTCAATCTCTTGGACACTATGACTGGTGACATTGTGCTAGCACAGCTATCGACGACCCCAAGGGTTGCGCCTCTACAATTTCACTCACAAGGCTTGGGTCAACCCATGGTATGGTTTTCAGGCACTTTCGAAACGTGCCGCACGCTGGAATCGATCCCTAACATCAGGAACTCTCTTTCCTAACAAATCAACCATATATATATATATATATATATATATATATAAGCTCCGAAGCAGGGACGCCATCAAAATCCTGCTTTAACAAATTTCATCTGTCAGTGTGGCTTTTTTGCCCGTAGAAAGGCTGGGCTAGTATCGTACTTAAGAAAGCACAAATGAAATATGTCTTTCCCTTACCTGATTTTCTCCACAATAGCACCAGCTAGCAACCATAAGTGTAAAACGAAAGGCACCATCCATTGCTTATCCTTATCGTTAACAATAGGAGAGTCCATCATATATATATACACACAAAAATATGTATTACTGGTATTGCTTTTACAAAAATGTATTGCTGGTAATTTTTACTGTAAAGATGTATTTTTATACTTTCCTAGTGTTTTGACCCCAGTTTCTGGGTTAAATATTTGCCCATAGTTGAAACCCTAACAGGTATTACCAACCCAGCTCAGGGTGAACCTGGGAACAACATCATTTAAGAGGTCGTTCCATACTCCTCAAAACTTCACGATGGAGTTTTATTAATAATCCTTTCACTGTTGTTGTTTAATGTATATACGATGGTTGCTCATCCAATGTCTATGGATGTTATTCTTCCTTTTGGTATTGATGACAAAACCATTTCCATTATATTTACTGCTTCCAAAACTACTAACTTCTTCTGTCTAACTGCGATATATATATATATATATATATATATATATATATATATATCACAATGAATCATTCATACAGAAATTAAAGTTAATTATATAAAATGGCGAAATCCCTCGCTAACAAAATTTTAAACATGCATTAACCTACTAATCACTCGATGAATGTTACGATCCTTGTTTTTTTTTTTAATCATAAGCTGTATAAAGTCTTTCTTAAATACGGAAGTACTTTCGACTGTATATTAAGTCATCTTCAGGCTTGGGAATTATTTTGTTTTTGGTAAAATTCAGGTAGCATCCGAGACGAAAAAATATAATGTGAATCGATGTATGTTTTTTTAAATGTGTTATTGATAACGGATACAAACTTTTGGAGCGTGATGGGATTTCGCCATTTTATATCATTAACTTTAGTAATTTACTTTTTGTATGAATGATTCATTGTAATACAAATTGAAATGCACCACATATTTTTTATATATATATATATATATATATATATATATATATATATATAAAGAAAGAACAGTAAGATATATAATCCGGTGTTCTTATAGATATTTTTATTTTTACAAAATAGTGTTCAATGTAAATTTACAGAGCATTAATATTATAAATTAACTGATTTAAAATATGGAAATCAGTTAATTTATATTATATATATATATATATATATATATATATATATATATATATATATATATATATATATATGTTATATCTATCAACGTGACGAGCCAATAATTTTTGTTTTTTTTTTTCACAAGTCTTCTAACATTAAATGTTCCGATAGTGGAATCATACTTATTATAAAACCCACGTTGTGTGTGTGTGTGTGTGTGTATGTGTCTGTACGTTTATATATTGGATCGGATTTACTACATTTTTCAACTGATTTCAACAAAACTTCACAGGACTATGTAAAATTACCTTGCGGTGGTTCTGATAGTGCCAAAAATTGGAAAAACACAATTGTTTTTGCACGAAATCAATTTGAAAACACGATTAAGAGGCATTAATGAAAAGGGGACAACTCAAATTGAGTTAAACTCAAATTGAGTTAAATTATAAAACGCAGGTTGTTTGTGTATGTGTGTGTTCGTTTATATATGGAATCGGATTTCCTACATTTTTCAATCGATTTCAACAAAATTTCACTTTTTTTTTTGCAGGTAGTGTTTCTTATTGTCTTGCACACTTTTTTCTTTATTTTTACATTCAGAATGCTTTAAAAATTCCATTTACAAGACAATTGTTTATAATAAAATTCTATTCAATCGGTAGACTCATAACGATTGAAAACAATGTTTTTGTTTGAGTTTGGGTTTGACCAATTCGTAAAAAAAAAATAAAAACAAAAAAAACAACTAATTAAGACATGCGTGTCAGTCAACCTTAAACAATAATCTTTGTCAATTTTATTTTTCAGTCTTTATGATGGTCGATACTTGATCTATCTCTTACTGTTACATCCCCGGGCAACGCCGGGCTCTACTGCTAGTCTTTTATATGCGATTAGGGGCATTTACAAATTACCAACTTTTAACGATTGATAACTGGAAAAGTCATTACCTTCTCGGACAAATCTGTTTTTTTTTTTGTTTTTTTTTAAATTGTCAAAATTAATCCAACATGTCCTTTCACTTAACAGATTTTTTTTAAATGTTTAACTTGTAAAAATATAAAATAAACGACAGTATCTTTATAAAGACAAGAGTTAATATATCGTGATTATTTTTACTGTGTTTTTAATTTTACGTCCGTTCTCTGCTTTGTTGCAAGAACAAAATATTTTCTCTCACACACACGCAAACACATAAACACGCCCGCGCGCACACACACATACATATATGAACTCTAGCAACATATGTAATTTAAAGATGTGAGAGGGCTTCCCAAAAAGATTTTTTTTAGTATTAAACTTTTGAGAAATTGAGTTTTAATTGGATTTTTATTGTAGTATTAAAGACTGGTATAACATTGATCAAGTTTTGTGAGCATTTTTAATAAATATTTTCGAGAGGATAGATAGATAGATATAAACGGACTGATTGATATATACACACATATATATATATGAACAGACTGAGTTTAATATATATATATATATATATATATATATATATATATATATATATATTATATATATATATATATATATATATATATATATATATGAATGAATGAATGAACAAACTGAAATAGATAGATATTGTAGAGATACAAAAGGCAGTTGTCTCCCTCCCTTTTGTTGTGATAGTCACGAGGGTCATGTGACGACCGATAAGTGTCGTCAGGAGATAGATAAAGTGATATAGTTGTGATATAGAGCCTGGAGATGAAGAACATCCCTAGACCACGGAGTAGGTCTTACAGGAAAAACAAAAAAAGGGGCTTCACCAGGTTTTTTATTGCATATATGTTATAATTTCTCTGCGTGGGACACGTGTATATATGTATATATAATTTTGTATACGACGTGTCATTATAAAACTCTCTCTGAGAACAAAGCATGTTTGTCATTCATTTTCCTTTCAGCTTTTCCGTTCCGGCCATGAATTACATTTTTATTATATCACGATTATAATATATCACAGATATAATAATGCCCATAATGGGGGAAATATAAATAGTGAAATAAACCTTTCTTCCAAGCCCTCCCATTAGATAGATAGATAGATAGATAATTTCTCGCCAGCTGTACGATGCAATTTGACTTCAGCATGCTGAAACATATCCTGACTTGCTTGCTCCAACCATGAATACCTGACTGTTATGCTTAATACAGGAACGTTGAATGTATTGTAATAATTGAACAAAGATTTTTAAAAAAGAAAGGAGAAGCCTATCAGTTACTAAATACAGAATGTATATGCATAGATAAATGTGAACATACGTATATATGTTTACATAATATATAAAACATTATGCATGTTCATCCGAGTATATGTATATTCTAATATAAAAATATATAGGTGAACATGATATATTAATTCATGCAGGTTTGGTTGAAAACTTGTATATCCGACTAATGTATGTATACCTATAAAGTCAAATATAAATCATGTGACAAATGTTTACCTATAGAGACAAATATAAGTCCCACGATTGTTTACAAATAGTCTCAAGTATAAACCTGACCAACGCCTACTCATAGACTCAAGCATAAATCAAACCAATGTTTAACTATAGGCTCAAGTATAAATACGACCAATGTTAGCCTATAGACTCAAGTATAAACGCGACCAATGTTTACCTACAGACTCAAGTATAAACACGACCAATGTTAACCTATAGACTCAAGTATAAACACGACCAATGTTAATCTATAGACTCAAGTATAAACACGACCAATGTTTACCTACAGACTCAAGTATAAACACGACCAATGTCTACATATAGACCCAAATATACACCAAACCATCAGTTACGCATAGAGTAAAGTATAAAATTGACCAACGCCTACCTATACGCTCAAATATGAATCAGAATGATATTTACCAATTTCAAATGTCACTTTCTTATTTCATGTATAATTGTCGTTTTTTGCTTCCCTTTTCCTTAAAAATTTCTCGTTACTTACACGCTCCGTACGTTGCATTCTCAGCGTCCTTCTGTAGAACCATATCTCTTGTGCTTCACGTTCTCTCTTCATCTCTGAAGCATTCACTGCTATTATAGAAAGGTTGATATTACACCGCAGTTCAGTTAAAAGCTCAACGAAAATTAAACACACCAACAATAGGTTGGAATCAGTCAAGTAAGTTCCATACGTGATATGCAATTGGGCGATCATGTCGCTATTCATGACTGACTAGACAGAAGATTTTCCTGCCGTTTCTTTCTGCGGTAGACTGGTTCCGAACCAAGGCTATACGATCCAGTCTGGGTCAACTAATAGCTGAGGATAGGAAGAAATGATGGATTCATCCCTTATCACAGGATAGATTGCAGGAAATGTATCTAAAGCGCAAATACCATTAGTAGATACATGTAACGAACTCGATTGGAATTCAAACTCACCTCTCTGATTTCTCACATCGAGCTGATATCAATCATACCACAATATTGAGATCTTCTTTTATGTGCAGTGTCCCTTCAGGATGTAGGCGATAATGGCCCTCCACATCTTCCTCTCCCTTGTAGATTTTTAAAAGTTTTGTCTTTTTGTTATTTCTCCCAATGCCCGTTCTGCCATCAATTTGCTCAAGCCCATCAAGTAAGTCACGCGCTGCTTTCCTCTGTCCCTCTTTCCTGCAATCTATCCTGTGCGTACCAGATTTTCCAGGCCTTCCTTCCTCATTACGAACTCCGGAAATTTCAACTGCCTCTTCATGATGTTGAGTATGGATTTTCTTTTCTGTTTCCATTCTCTCCAAAACCACGTCGTTGCTCAAATGTTTCGGTCCATGGTATCCCCAGCATCCTTCTGTAGAACCATATTTCTGTTACTTCAAGTCTCTCCCTCATCATTGAGGAGGTTGTCTAGCATTCGCTGCATGTAATATTGCGATATTTGTTTTATAAACACGACGACAGATGTTTATTCAAGTCATGTTAATAATAGCTAGTAACTGCATTATGAGTCTATCTTTCAGTTTGTTTAAATAATTTATTCGGTGAAATTTTTAATGTCAACTATTACATTTTAAAGACAGAAGAAAAATATGAAAAGAAAATCAGGAGAAAAAACAGCAAGAAAGTCAGAGCAATCGGTTGGGCTCGGCTGTTATGACAGAGTAGATGGATGTTTAAAGGAAGGATGCTGACACCGATTTCAGGCTTGCCGGGGAACTAAATGGTGACATTTCAAGAGAATATTCCCACGCCCTGGGGGAGGAGAGGCGCGAAAGAGGACTTTTCGAAAACTTTATTTCTATGCATTTGCTGCTATAATATTTTGTTTAGTTTAACGTCACATAACAGCTTTCTTTTTTATGCACTGTCCCTTCAGGACGTAGGCGATTATAAAACTCTGCAGATTATCTGTGAATTACCATGCATTCTTGGGAAATATAGCAGTGTTGTTTTCCGCTGCTTTCTCCAGCTACAGTGTTATTTAAACCATAGCTGGGGAACAATAGACGGATTTTCGCTTTTGGCAAGGTCATTCGTACAAAAGTGAACGCAACAGTCTAGCCCGGAATTTGAACTCGACTCGCCGAGTCCACTTTCCGTATCGATATTCGTTGCACCACTCGCACAGTTTCCGTTATAATAACAGATAACAGAAAAGTAAAATGTCTGTGAACAAGAGAAAGAAGTTTGCTAGATGGTAGGTATGCATGTTTCAGTAGACTAGAAGAGGAAGATAAAAAGTAACAAAAAAATACCAGGACTTGTTGCAGTTTTTTAAATATATTATGTACTAGTGAGCCAGTCAAAATGACTTGACTCATTTTATAGTCCACCAATAGAAGTGTTAACCAATCAGAAGACGTAGAATATTCAATCCGTCGTGTATAAAGGCGGCCATTTTGTTTACTCTATCCGAATGTCCAGTGCCAGCTTGTCAGGCGAAATAAAACAAAAGGAAGAACTACTGAACTACGCTCTGCTACTTTATCGGGATATCCACTGCTAACCTGAACTACACTTCCCTACTGTCTTCGAAATATTCACTGCTAACCTCTGGATTCTATACTCAAAGACAACCGTCATCATGAACAACATTGGTTATGAGCCCAGTACGCTTCCACTGCGCTCATCTGATCTGCGGAACCCGTGCAAAAGTGGAGGTTAGGTCAGAGTGTAAGTAGTGCAATAGAATTTCTTTTACGTGGCATGTCCCGTCAGGACGTGGGTGATCATAGATGCCTTTCCCTTTAACTTCTCTGCAACATTTGACTCTTTTTGACATCTCTCTTCCCCATCCCGTTCTTCTATCTACTTGTTAACTCGTTAAAGAGGCTACCCGTTGTTTCCTTCTGCCTCTCCTGCTTTCAGTATGTCCTGTGAGTGTTAAATTCTCCAGGCCTACTTTCATCATTATGCGCCCCAGAAATTTTAACTATCTCCTTCTGATTGTATGTTTTAGCGTAATTTTAGTTATTTTTCTTAAAAACCTCCTCTTCGCTCACGTGTTCAGTCCATTCGGTCTATGGTATTCTCAGCATCCATCTGTAGAGACGCATTTCTGTTGCTTCAAGTCTCTTCTTCAACTGTAAACATTAACTGACATGTTATATTACGTAGCAGTTCAGTACTCTTTTCATTGTTTCTAACGAACTTTTTCTGTTTCTAAATACTTTCTTTAGCTTTTGGAAATTTCTATCTTTAACATTTTAAAGCTAATAATCTCCGACTTTAATACGATAATTGATCATTCTTGATGATTTGTGGAATATGGGAGGAGGCACGATGGAGTAATGGATAGCGGCTCGGACTGAGGAATCGGAGAGCCGAGTTCCAATCCCAGTCGAATCCATTGCATTCACTTACGTGCTAATACCCTTGGGAAAGGTGTGGATCCTCCTCTTCTCCTCCCAGCTATAGGTAAATCGCAGGACAGCTGGTCTACCACAGAAAGAAATGGCAACCTACTTCGGGAAAAAATCTGCCTCGTCAGTCATGTATCGAAAGATACATGATCGCCTAAGCGTGTATCACGCATGGCACCTAACTGACTGATAGGGAATATGAAGCAAAAAGCGAATCTTTAAACGTTATTTCAATACTTACGTTGGTATTTTGGAACCATATCTCCCCCCCACCTTGTGTACATAAATTGTCCAGCACCCATTGTCATATTGATATTGCATAACAGCTGAGAACTTTTCACGTTATTTCAAGCGAAATTTTCCTGTTTCTTAATACTTTGTTTAATTTCTGGAAGGCAGCTTTCACTATTCCAATGTGCCTTCTGATATCCGCGTTACATTTTTTATTGTCTGTCACTGTACTATATTGTCCAAGACTGGTTGCAGTACATGTGTCACTCGTACCACTCTGACATCTGACCTGATGCTCTCCAGATAGTCAAATTTCTATACTTGCTTGATTCTAACAATTACAGTTCATAGTTCCGACTCTTGGTTGTCGCTCATCATACCAGGTCATCCCATAAGTTCTGTCCGAATTTTAACTTTTTGTTAAAATGAACGAAATTTAAAGAGTATTTTATAATGTCTACTGGGGATGAACATTATTTTTATGTTTAGATGCATTTAAACTGATCAAATTTTATTTCAGAGAACAATAAAATTAAATTTTGTTTGATTAAAACCCTGCTAACATGGAAGTACCCAAGAATCATTTGAGGCACATAATGCTTTATGAGTTCAAGAAAGGAAACTCAGCAGCCGAAGTGGCTAGAAACATTCACCCAGTTTATGGAGAGGAATGTGTGAATGAAAGAACTTGCAGAAGATGGTTTGCAAAATTCAGAGGTGGAGATTTCACTCTTAAAGATGAAGATCGAACCGGACGTCCAGTTGAGTTTGATGAAAAGCTTCTTGAAGCAGCCCCTGAAGAAAATCCTGCTTTATCAGTTGAGGAATTGGCAGTGGTTCTCAGTTCAAACCATACAACTGTTCATCGTCATCTTCAACAACTTGGAAAAGTTCCTAAACTTGGAAAATGGGTGCCTCGTGAATTGTCTAAAAACAATCTCAAATCCCGAGTTGACATCTGCTCTTCTCTCCATTCTCGCAAATTTGTTTCACCTTTTTTGATAGACTTATGACAGGCGACGAAAAATGGATCTTTCATCGTAGACAGTGGCTTGGTAAAGGGGAAGGACCCCAGCCACAGCCGAGAAGGGAACTTCATGGGCAAAAGGTTCTTCTTTCAATCTGGTGGGATCGCCAAGGAACAATCCACTTTGAATTCTTACCACCTAATGCAACAATTAATGCTCAAATATACTGTCAGCAATTAGAGCGTTTGAACCAAGCTTTGAGGAAAAAAGACCTGCTCTAGTGAATCGAAAAGGGGTGATGTTTCATAAGGACAATGCGCGACCCCACACAGCAAGAATCACGTCACAAAAGATGGAAGAACTTGGCTGGGAGAAAATTCCTCATCCACCTTATTCTCCCGATCTTGCTCCTTCAGACTACCATTTGTTTCGTAGCTTACAGAATAATTTGGAAGAAACAGCTTTTGTAACACAGGAAGAGGTTAAAAGTGACATTTGTGAGTTCTTCGAATCAAAGCCAAAAGAATTTTACAGTAATGAAATTAGTAAGTCATAGATAATCAGGGAAAATACATTGTTGATTGAATCTGTAATTAAATGTAACATTTGGTCACTTGTTTTCTTTATTCAAAATTCGGACAGAACTTATGGGATGACCTGATATATTATGTCTTTTTGCAATTAATAGTTCTTTCTTCTCTCCTTCCTTTACTTGGGATTCACTCAGTTTCCTTTTCTTTTACTGATAGCAACATTGTGTCATCCACGTATCTTATGTTAATATCTATATCTATATCTAAAAATGCCAATGTCAGTGTGTCACTTTGTCACACTTTTTCAATTAACGGGACACAACTCTCAAGAGCTCATCTTTTTCTGTATAAATAAATGCCAATGTCAGTGTGTTACAATGTCACACTTTTTCAGTTGAAGGGACACAACTCTCAAGACCTCATCTTCTATATAATAAATGCTAATGTCAGAATGTCATTGTGACACGCTTTTTCAATTAAAGGGACACAACTCTCTAATTTTTCAATGGCTCATGGTACAAACATTTTGGATTCCCAAGTTTTCATTACTGTGATTGTTTTCGGCGATATTTTACGACGAATTTTTATATGATGACGATTTTTATAACTTGGAAATAACTTTGGGATTAATCGAAATTAATTGCGAAATCCAGCGAAAGTCACCCATGAAATAAAAATAATTGTTTGTGCAGAAAGTAAAGACCTACGTAGATCAAATTGTCTTTAAATTAAGTGGCAGCAGAAGAATTATCTTTGAACATTTAAAAGGTAAGCTTAAATATTAATGTAACACTTAAATGCATCGATCAATTTTGAGTTCTTCTATATTTTACATACGGCAGCAGCATGCCTCGCAAAAAGAAATCTCCGCCAACAGAGAACTAGATTGCAATCAAAGAAGCCAAGGCTGCGGCGAATAAAAGAAAGTTCCGTGCAAATGAATATCCAGATTAAACGCCAGTTTGGAGAGCTTCCATTGCTGAGAATATACAAAGACTTAGGGACTCTCAAATTCTTGAACAAGCTGAAGGCTCAATCAAAAGCCCTCCGCAAGAGATAGCTTAAGCTAGTACACACACACACACACATATATATATATATATATATATATATAGTTTATGAAAAACTAGGTAATCCGTATGGGTAAACCTAAGGAGGATAAAATCCAGAGAGCTCAATGTAAATTAATTTATGAACCCCCAAAATAACACTTTCAAAGTAAAGCAAAATAACACCGTCTGTTTCAACCTTTTTTTACAAAGAAAATTAGTGACATCTTCTCTCTTAGCTTCCTTCCCTTTTTTCTCTATGGGTTTTTTTTTTCTTTCTACCCTTCGATATCAATATATAACTCCGTTAAGTTAACCGTTTAAATGTGGCAATATCTGCTAACTCACTCATGTCTTCTCTCTCCCCTACCACTTCCTCACTTCGTTAATTTACATATGTTTAATACGGCCCGTCAAAAATGTGTAAATTTTCTTTACATTTTTTGTTTGGAAGTAAAGTCTGATGATCCGCAGTTCTTTTAAAAGGGCTGTGGAGAAATAATTTATTACATGGAACCTTAAAGTGGTCTGTTTTTATTTAATATATATATATATATATATATATATATATAT